ATAATGTAGAAAGATACGGTCCAATGGGCACATTGTGACAGAACAAGAACCATTGAAACTATTTATTTTTCCTTTCAGGATTGTCACCATTTCTAATCAGTAAAGGGGTACTTTTTTCTTTGCTCGAGGGATATTTTATTTGAGTTTGGGAAAACCTGGGTTTGGACGACCCGCGTAGTCCCGGAAATGGGTATTCTCCCTATGGTAGCTGCTAATTTTAAAGCGAATCATCAGCCGATAACAATCTTGTATAATAATCTTTTAAAGCTACATTTCCTTAACATCATGTTGTATGTGATACTAACATTTTCAAAGTGTTACCAAAATCTGGAACAAATGGATTCCGACATGCCATTAAAAAAAAAAGAAGTTGCTCAATGGGGTGTGTTTGCCTTAGTGTAATCAAGGAACAATTTAAAACACATTACTTCTACCATATGAAAAGGTAAGAATTACTTTTATAAAACTCATAATTTTCTTTGGCTCTTTGTATATGCTATAATGCCGAAAACATGGATACAATAAAACAACTGGTGATAACAAGTACGTCCTATAATAGTCTCATAATCTTTCTCTCTCATTTCTCAATGCATGGCCACTATACACAGGTAAATTTTTACAGAGAGGTGGCCACTAAGGCAGGTATGACTGTAAATGTTTATATCCATACCCGCACACTTACAAATTCACACACACAAACACACACACACACACGCACACATGCGTCCAAATACAGGTGAATTATTCGTATCATCAAGATCATCATACAACTTTCTAGCATAGTATTTTGTTCACCTTTTCAAGCAAATCGCCATCGAGGGTGAGAACGACTCCATTGATGAGACCGGTCAGGGTCTTGCGGACAATCCCTGACTGCATGGAGGCAGCGAAGTTACCGACATTGATGCCATCCTGTAACAAAAAGTTTACACAATAGTAATAATTATAATCAAAGCGACCCTAAGTCAGCTTTGAAAGTTAGTTTTGGCAATAAACATGTTGTATGAATAACATTTGAACAAAACTTCCTCTGGACCACTAAAAACTCTGGTTGTTTGGAACCAGTAACATGGACGACGATGACGTTAGCACTTAGGTTCTCTATTTGTGCAGGTGGGAGGCAAGGTCCATTCTTTCTATATTTAATTATTTTGAATCAAAAAATCTCTTTATCCAGCAGGAACGTTAAAGTTATAGCAATAGCAAGTAGTAGTATCATCAATTAAGGGATGGTTGAGTTCTGTTTTCAGACAGCAAATGCCTTCAAAGTGCATGGTTATTGTTCTTATTCTCTATGACATTCCTAGTGCCCTTATAGAACCTAAAATTGCTATGAAGGTAATTTTAGACCCCAAAATGTGTGAAATTTAGCCAATACGATCATACCAATTGAGCTCGACTTTAAAAAAAAACATGGTGACCGTTAATTAATTATTTGATTAAAATAACAATACATGGGCCGGCTAATTGGGAGTAATATAAGCAACACGAAAATGCCAACAAAAAAGCCAACATCGGCATTGGCTGAAATACGACGTAAAAGGCGTTATTTCGGTTTTTCGAACGGTTTTTTCAAATTCAAGTTTTCAAAATATCTAATATTTGTGGTGGTACACAAGTATTAGAAATTGTTATATTTCAGCCTTCTCTGAACCAATTTTGATCAAACAAGGATGATTTTGTCATTTAAATATTATGTTCTTTCAAATTTAACACTCAGATTTTCATTATCTCACGAAAAAAATATTTTGTGTAGCGCCCTCTGCAACAGAACTCAACTATCCCTTTAAGTTACCCTTGCATGAATCTGATGACAATTAATTTGGTGGGAAAAAGTCCATTTGTCCTACAATAGTTGCATCAAAAGAATTCCCATCGTCAAAAAAAATTACCTGGTGCTTTTGCTTTAATAATGTAGATACATTCATTGACAAAACTATAGAAATCAGTCGATTCAACTACTTTGACAATGATCTTACCTCAAGGACAACGATGTACTGACCAGGAATGTTGGGCTCAACTCGGTAGAAAGGCGCAAGGCGGCTCTGAGCCACAGCAGCGAAGAGGAGAACAAGGAGAGCTTGCATCTTGGTTGAGTGGTTTGTCTAGATTAATTTCTTCTCAAAACAAACAAAATACAAGAAAGATGAAGTTTATGAATACGAGTTTAAAATAAACACCCGACGAATAATGTTGCAAGCCTGACTTAAGTTTGGATCAGACTGAATATCAAGATGAATTATTCTTTTAAAACCAATTTATGTTATCAATACCGGGATACTCGGTAATATATGGAAGAACAAATGACGAAATAGAACGACATTGGACTTGTCCATAACGTAGAGAAATAACAATAAATAATATTGAGGAAAGAATATACTGCCTCACTGCGAAATGCCAAGAACAATCGTCCGGAGGTCACCTCACACCGTACAATCCATTGCGACAGGATTTGAGAAAACTTGAGATAATTGTGTTGAGAGACAGTTCCCATCCTCTAGCCGATACAAAAAATCTGACTGAAAAGCATACAATACTCAGCTATTTCGATTTTTATTATCGCCTTGATTTTGCGGAACCTCAATCAGGAAAATTTCACCGTTTTTTAAATGCTCAAGTCTTCCCAAATCTTGTCGATTAGGATGGTGAAGGTGTGCGGTGTTCCTTCCGATGTCTTGCCAGCTCTTACCTTACTTCTGAAGGGATGAGACGAACTTGATTGGATATGCTAGAATCGTCCTCTATTTATAGAGGTTGCCTCCATATACACAACCCTATGGGACATCGACACCTGTCCATCTTTGCACATTTTTTTCCTTCATGAATTATATTTGATATTGCATCATAATTTGAATGTATATCAAAAGGACAATGGCTGCATATAAACCATATAAGATTGATATGTTTGTTTCCATAACATCTTCTCAATTTCTCACGCTAAAGCTATTGAGGACAACAAACTTTGCTTCTCGTACCATTCGCGAATATCTCTAAAAATTTTTCCTTTCCTCTTGCCCCCCCCCCCCCCTCTCCGTATCTGCCTCTGCATCATGATTTTAATGTAAATCAAAAGAACAATTGATGATATGAAGTATTTTCCGTTTAATAATAATAATAGGCATTTGTATAGCGCCGTCTATCTAGACAATGCTATTCCGAGGCGCACAAGAAAAATAGAAAGAATGAGAAAGTTTGGACGAGAAAGTTCGGATGAGTGTCATAGTGCCAAGTGCAGGTATTGTTAAAGAAGATAAAGATTTTAGCTTGGATTTAAAGGTCTCTAAGGAAGTTATAATTCTCAAATTAAATGGTAAATTATTCCAAAGAATTTAAAGACGCGCATTGTCTCGAGGCTGTATATTAACTTTATCATAGTGATATGTTTGTTTTCATAACATCTCCTCAATTTCTCACGCTAAAGCTATGGAGGATAACAAACTTTTCTTCTCGTACCATTCGCGGATATCTTTCCATTCCTCTTGCATCCAGTTGCCACGTGTCACGTCGAAACTGATGCATCGTATCGGTTTTAGATGTGCTCTGTGATGATGATGATGATGATGATGGTAGTGATAGTGGTGGTGCTGAAGGTGGTTGTGTTGCTTGAAGTAGTTCGATGCATGGTGGTGGTAGTGGTGGTGGTGATGAAGATGTGATGGAGGTGATAAAGTGATTATATGATGATAATGATAATGACAAAAGAGGATTTTTGTTTCATTTTTTTGAGAGTGATTGTCTTTTCAATAATTGTTAACATCCCAGATGGCCGTTTCGTAACCCCCTCCCTTTTTTCTGTTAAAACAAAAACGTACGACGTGTACATGTCATTTCTGTCCCTTTTTAAATCTCTCTTATCATCTCTCCCTTTTCCCCTTTTTTTTTCTTCGTGATTTTGGTGGTAGTGGTGGAAATAAGGTCGTTGGTAATGATGATGATGATATTGGTGACGATGACAATGATCGTGGCGTTGATGATGGGGGTAGTGGTGGTAATGATGGTGACGAGGATGTAACGAAAAGAGTGTTGATGATGATGATGATGAAGCTGATTGTGGTGATGTTGATGATGATGTTGTTGATGATGATGATAATGATGATGATGATGATTAAGATGACTGTGAGAGAGGAAGCACAAATTATCTACCTTTTCAATAGGCCGTCTTAACATACGAAATTGAAGAAAGCCGTTTTGTAATCCGACCCCCTTCCCCGTCGAGACACAACGTGCCACGTACGTTCAACGTCTCTGCTTTCCTAAAGCGAGTATTTGCACAGAGTAGATAACAGAATATTCAGGTGACATTAGGGATATCACAATGACATAGTTGAGGTTACATTAATAATGACTGAATACCATGAAACGTGAAATTTATTTTCTTTTCCCCATTCCATTAGATTGACAATATATAATGAGAATTACATTTAAATCGGAAATAAAAGTTGTTTAAGGAATAAAAATTGACAAAGTATAGATATAAATAGACATAATCGTAGCATATTCAACTATTCTGTGTATTCATAAACTATTTCTGAAAACCCCTTTCCTGTTCATGCATGATACAGTATCAACACATTTTCATATTATTGACTTATTCCTTATGAACATAGCTATGGAATCGAACATATATATCATTCAATTAGCTTACTATATCAAACAGTGAAAGGTAACACCTGACAGGGAGTGTATTACAATCGGCACAAATTATGATCTTAGTTGTAACGCACTATAACACGTTTATGTAGTTAGGGTATATTTCTAATATTTCTAATGATTCTAACAAAATAACGTTATCATGTAATGTAGTCCCAATATGATTCGGCATAAACTACTATCCTCCGTTATCTTTTCAGTTACCAAAAATATAAAGACGTGCACCGTCTGGTGACTGCAAATTAACTTCATAAGTTTGATATGTTTGTCTTCTTAACATCTTCTCAATTTCTCACGCTAAAGCTATTGAGGATAACAAACTTTTCTCCTCGTACCATTCGGGAATATCTCTAAAAATTGTCCATTCCTCTTGCCTCCTTCTCCTTCTCCCCAAACTTTGTGTACACTCGTATAGTTACTATAATGCGTAATAACATAGTAAACTGAAATCCGTAACTCTTGTTGACTCGTGACACGTCGAAAATGATACATCGAATCGGTTGTAGATGTGAATTGTGATGATGGGGATGACGATAGCAATGATGGGGGTGGTGTTGGAGGTCGTTGTGGTGCTTGAAGTAGTGGTGATGCATGGTGGCGGTGGTGACGGCGGTGTTGGTGTCGGAGGTCGGTGTGGTGCTTGAAGTAGTGGTGATGCATGGTGGCGGTGGTGGTGGTGTTTGTGTTGGTGTTGGAGGTCGGTGTGGTGCTTGAAGTAGTGGTGATGCATGGTGGCGGTGGTGGTGGCGGTGTTGGTTTTGGAGGTCGGTGTGGTGCTTGAAGTAGTGGTGATGCATGGTGGCGGTGTTGGTGGCGGTGTTGGTGTTGGAGGTCGGTGTGGTGCTTGAAGTATTGGTGATGCATGGTGGCGGTGTTGGTGGTGATGTTGGTGTTGGAGGTCGGTGTGGTGCTTGAAGTAGTGGTGATGCATGGTGGCGGTGTTGGTGGCGGTGTTGGTGTTGGAGGTCGGTGTGGTGCTTGAAGTAGTGGTGATGCATGGTGGCGGTGGTGGTGGTGTTGGTGTTGGTGTTGGAGGTCGTTGTGGTGCTTGAAGTAGTGGTGATGCATGGTGGCGGTGTTGGTGGCGGTGTTGGTGTTGGAGGTCGTTGTGGTGCTTGAAGTAGTGGTGATGCATGGTGGCGGTGTTGGTGGCGGTGTTGGTGTTGGTGTTGGAGGTCGGTGTGGTGCTTGAAGTAGTGGTGATGCATGGTGGCGTTGGTGGTGGCGGTGTTGGTGTTGGAGTTCGGTGTGGTGCTTGGAGTAGTGGTGATGCATGGTGGCGTTGGTGGTGATAATTTGTTGTTGGTGTGTGTATGTGTGTGTGCCTGAAATGAGGTGTTTATTTGCATTCAAGCATCAAAATATAATTGTGAGAAAAAATGTTATTGAAGTACAATGTTATCAATTTTTCTGAACTGTACAATATTTTGCTACTTTTCATTGCCAGTTTCTTTGGCAACCTTTTGACTGTTTCTATTTAGTTCCTGAATTACAAAAAAAACATTTTTTATTTCTCTTTCCAAGACGTATTTTTAGTTTGAAGCGGTTTTCATTAAAACCATACTTATAACAGAAGACTAACATTTTGTATATACACCCGATTGCGATGGTTATTACAACGTCTATCTCTCTGTCAATATTAATCTTAAGTAAACAAGAGATATCCATTCAAATATCAATATCAAAAGTGTACTTCACAACATGTTTGTTCTGTTCACATTCATTAAACGCATGCACTATGTCCTCTATGACGTGGCACTGGGGGCAGTATCTGTCGTCTGCTAATCCACATTTGTAAAGATTGTTTCCAACAGTTAGTATATTTTACAGCAACTTGAAATTGAACTATGTTAAAATACGTTGTATACGTTAGATTAAAAGACCAGTTTCTTTGTATCATATTTTCCCCAATAAGACAGCAGCTGTTGGCTGGTAAGTGACTGTTTAAAAAGTACCAGATTGTAGAAATGCTTACGTCACTGATAGGTAAAGACACTCTCCAAAATAATTAAAAAAAAGGTTTTCAAAAGAGTTAATAGGATCTACTGGTTCAGTTTCTTTTTTTATAAAATCACTGAACCAAATATTTGTAATAGCTTTCTTTAATTTAGTATAAATGAGTAAAATATTTTGCTTGTTTTTCCTTGTTTCAAGGAGTAATGTCAGGTATTTAACAGACAAAAAAGTCCTTCTCCTAAGAGGACCTTTATATAAATTATTCCACAACTAAATCAATCTGCGTAAAACACAGAATTCATATTTAAAGCAATATTTCTGTAATACCATATTATTTGCATATAAAAACATTTATCTTGTGCAGGATAATTTTCACAACAAGTACAACTTTAAAAAAAATATATTTCCAGGCTAGTAATATTTCTAAGTAGAAAACTGAAAGTTGCCATTTCTGGACTTTGAATAATTGATGGTCATAGTTACAGTTTAACAGAAAATTTACCCATCGAGCAAAGCAAACCAATAATTACACATATCTTTCCATGGACCTTTACTGCCATCCAATAATCTACCAAGCCATCTTATACAAAACTCAATATCTGTTTTTCAGTGTTAATTGTACGTAACCCCCCATCGGTCATAATCTTGAGTAAGGTAAAACTTTTTATCTTGCATTTTGGAATCTAAACAAAATTGAATACTAATTAATTCAATTTCTTCAGACACTTTGGGCCTGCGACTTCGCCAACAAATTCTAATTCATTTATTATATTCTCTAGATTACTTTTTTAAAAAGCTTTTTTTAAAGCTCGGGTGTGGGAGATTCGAAGTTGTGGTGTAAGAGCTTGAGAGGTGGTTGTTTTTTTTGTTGTCATTAATGTCGTTTCCATCGTCATTAGATGATTTTCGCCAGGCAATGTGAGAGGGCGTAGTTACTGGTCCTCTCTTAGTACTTTTGCTGTTGGATCGACGATAGCCTAGTGGCGTTGTGTTTGTGCAATTAACAATGTCAGTAAATTGTTAGTAGTTATTTTCTGTATCGCTATGCAGCTTGTTATTTTATAGAATTCATTAGGAAGGAAAGGAGGAAGTGGTTGAATAATAGTTGCGATCAGTTCATTATGTGAGGACGTTAGTTTAAACCCTCTCTCCGTATAATGAAGCAATTTATACAATTCATATAATGTAGCAATTTATACCGAGGATAGTACCACTGTCACTAATAGATAATATAGCGAAACGTAATTAATACTGTATGTGTATAGCTGAGCATCACAGTTCGTTGTACTTTCCACTGCCTTTAAAAAAAGCTACCACCTTTCCTATATATTCCTCGTTTCCTAGTAAATGACCTAGATTTGGATTTTGGGTCATTAGTGCTCTGTACCTTCTCCTTCTTTGTCTTTCATATTTTGGGCATGATAATAAAAAGTGCTCAATTGTTTCTATCGTCTGGCATTATACACATAGTCCAGTGTCGTGTTGAAGGTACCAAGGAGAAGGCAAACCCTTTGTGCATGTGGTCACAGTTTTTTCCCTCCAAATTACAGCCATGCATCTGAATACAGGAGAAGCCTCCTCGACTTCATTCACTCACATCAACTGTAAGTTCAAACTCTCTCTTTTTTTTTTCTTTCTTCATTTACTATAAAATGTGTGTATAGTCAGTTTAAAGCAAAATATGTGAATATGCATATCATGAAAAACATTCCATGCACTAAGGAAGTTAGGTATATATGGACTCAGTTTATCTTCTGTTTTTTTAATATAGGAACGAAATATCACAAATGGAAACAGAAATAATTATAACAAGATTACAAGTTTAAAGATGCATAGTACAGAGGATATTTCAAATGCATTTAGTTTCATAATCTAAAAAGATATGTAGTAAATAATCCTGTATAACTTGTTATTTCTGGTAAGTCTACCAGATACGTTGTTGGATAGTTGTTAAAGGGATAGTTGAGTTCTGTTTTCAGACCGCAAATGCCTTCAAAGTGCATGGTTATTGCTCTTATTCTTATCCATGACATTTATAGTGCCCTTTTAGAACCTAAAATTGCTTTGAAGGTCATTTTAGACACCAAAATTTGTGAAATTAGCCAATACGATCATACCAATTCAGCTCCACTTTCCAAAAAACATGGTGACCGTTAATTAATCATTTAATTAAAAATTACAATACATGAGCCAGATACTTGTGGGTAATATAAGCAACACGAAAATGCCAACTTCAGCATTGGCTGAAATACGACGTAAAAAGGCGTTATTTCGTTTTTTTCCAACGGTTTTTTCAAGTTTTTCAAAATATCTAATATTTCTTGTGGTACACAAGTATTAGAAATCTTTATATTTCAGCCGTCTCTGAACCGATTTTGATCAAACAAAGATGATTTTGTCATTTAAATGTATGTTCTTTCAAATTTGACACTCAGTTTTTCAGTATCTCACAAAAAAATTATTTTGTGTAGCGCCCTCTGCAACAGAACTCAACTATCCCTTTAAGGAAATAATTCAGGAGTTGACTGTGGTTCTCTTTTATTTATGATAAGGTGAATACATATTAAACCTAATTCACAAAGCCACTTTATATAACCTTTGAGCATAAATACCATTGATGAAGTATGATAAAATACAGCATACAATTTGATTATTGTTGTGAGTGTCAGCATTGAGATTGCCAATTGATTTTAGGCATCCTGTTTCATGATGTACATTTATTTAATCTATTTTGTTCATATTTCACATTTAAAAAGTGCAAGGATTATAACAGTGTGAGAAGAATTCTCATATTAATATAACTTCATGTGTAACATGATTAAAGGAAAACATCTTTATTGAGCTTGAATTAATGATGGTTGGATACCATAAAACATTAAATTAATTTCTTTTCCCAATTCAATAAGATTGGCAATATGTAATGAGTATTACAAACGAAGAGTATAGATATGAAATATACAGCATGGTTGCATATCGAACTATCCTGTGTATTCATGGTAATGGTAAACTATTTCTCAAAACCCCATTCTCCTTTTTTCATGCATGATACAGTATCAACGTTTTCATATTCTTGAATGTAGTTATGGAATCAAGCCTTTATATTCGTCTTTCTCTCTTTAATTATGTTATTCTTTTACAACGACCGGTCAAGATATTCATGGTACTTCTTTTAATGGTTTGCATAAACATGCAGAGCTTTGATAATTCCCAAATCTGCATGTAAAAGGACCTAATAATCACCCAAATACAAGGGATAGGGGTGGGAGAGGGATAGGGGAGGGGGGGGGGGGGGGGAGGGGGTCGCCAGGGCGAGTCTGAACAAAATTACCCGTAGACATAATATTCCTGGTTAATTACCATTCATTCATTTTGAACCATGTAAATAATATCAACGACTGTTGCCCTGATAGCTAAGATTTTTTTTCCCATTTGAGGAAAACGGTTTTTGTTAATCCAAGATATCAATACATCATCTCACTCTTCCTCTCTCCCCTCTCATATTCTCACTCTCTATCTATCTCTCTCTATCACCCCTGTCTCACTCTCACTCTCTCTCTCTCTCACTCACAAACACACACACACACACATATACATTCAATATAGATTCAATTCAATCCGTTTATATCAATTCCAGCAAAGACATTACAAATATTTACATGTAGGTAAATATAAGACATATTTTCATACATATACGAGTTTAAAAATATATATATTCGGTATAATAGACCTACAGTACAAATTAGAAAAAAACATTAGTATAGGAATTAGGATGGCCTTTTAAAAAAACTGAGGGTTTTATCGAGACGGCCAACCGAACAAAGTGTAAATGAAGTATATGGCAAGACGTGTTTGACATGCTTTTTTTTATTTACAATAGGAATAGGTGTAAAATATTACTTTATAATAACCATCATAACATAAAAAAGGACATACAAACAAATAAAGAAATACATTTACCTATACAAACCATACACAAAAGACATAAAGCAGTATAATGATTGAATAACAATTGTTAATACAAATTTCTTCAATTTTCTTTTAAATGTGCTGACTGATTGCATTTCAGTATTGTCATTATTATCATCACTGTTATTATTATTATTATCATCATTATTATCATAGTTGTTATTATCATTATCATTAGTATCATTATTATCAATATTATCATTATTGTCATTATTATCAATATTATTATTATTTTTGCTAGGCCTATTATCATTATTATGCCGGAGTACTTTGTTTTTAAAACTTT